GACATTACACCAAACTATTATTATTTTTTTCATGTGTTTATTGTATGATTGGCCTCCATGAACCCCCAAATATGTGAATGAAGTCTATAAATGTTCTATCAAAGTCGGTCGAATAAATTTCCAATGTCCACGAGGACGTGTCCTTTTCCTGCCGACTTGGTGACTCTCTTCTTTTTTTGGGTAAATGATTTAAAGAAGATAATGACAAAGAAAAAATCCGTGATGATTTTAAAAAAATATATGATTTTTCTACCGCCACTAAATTTTAGAACGTCGTATTACGACATAAACACGAATTCACGACAAATTGGGGTAAACCGGTTCCGGTTTACAAGTCGGGAGTTGAAGTGTACAGAGCGACCGGTATACTGAACCGGGACAACCTGAGATCGTGCGAGGTCCAGAAAGGCCCACAGACTGGTAAAGCGCGTGGATGCCACTGTGAATCCGAAGTGTTAGAATTGATGCATCTCAAATCATATCATATCATTTCGCAGGTGTTGTGAATTGTCAAAATGTGAAGATTTAAGTGTTCTGATATTAATATTTGTATATATTACAGATTGGATATAGTTTTGGACCCACGATATCCCATTTTCTTATATTTTTAAAATCGTTTTAAAACAATTTATATCATATTTCAATTTGATTTTGGTTTCATGAAAGGGTAGAATCCTCCGAAAATAACTATATCATAATTAAGAACAAGTGACAATAAATTTGCGGATTTTTATATTCGAAATAAAAAAGAAGAAAAAAAAAAGATGATAGGATTTCATAAGTGGAAAATATGGGAGGGTCAATATCAGTCACGACGTGTGAAATGGACGTGGGATTATTTTTCATTTTGAAAAAGAAAAAAAGAAACAAGTGATCGAGGTGGTCGTGATCTGTAAAGGGCTTCACATGGAGTGAAGCATGACTCTCTTATTACATGTAAAGAGCCCATTCTAGTGTCTCCATTCTCACTTTCCCTATCCTTTTTGTCTCCTCCTCTCTTTTTTTTTTTTTTTCCTTTTATGCCAAATGGTAAAGATAACGCATTTGTAACAAAACCAAACATGCCATGTCATTTTCTTGGCTTATTAATTTTTTATTTTGCAAACCATTATTACATATACTTCTATAATTTATTAAGTCAACATCACTTAATTTGTTTGTTATGCCGTCTTTTTTTTTATACAATATATAATCAAATAACAGATTAAAAAAATCCTACAATAATGATCGGACTTTCAAGATATTTTAAATTTCGACGAAAATCATTTATATGATTAATTCCCATGTCAATGGGAACATGCCGAAAGTAATAGCGAGGTTCTAGGATATAGAAATGGAATTGAATTCCTTGTTCCTATACTTCATATATATATATATATATATTCTTTTACTTTCTATCTCTTTCAGTTATTTATTTTTAAATTCACCAAAAAAAATTATTTGTTTTTAATATGTGAAGAAGGGGAAAGAAAGAGTCAAAAGGGACAAAACACACGTGACAGACAGGTTAAACGGAAACAACCGCCAAAGGCCTAACGAAATCAGCCCTATACTTTCGACGATAAATGGGCCCACTCCAACTTACTGATTCAGCCCCTTGTGGGCCCATCTTCGTCTTTCCATCGTCGTCTTTCCATCTTCTCTCGTATTTTAGCGTATTTTTTGCGATTATATATGTAAATCTCTTTTTTAAAAGGGCATGTGTGATTATAATTATATATTTTTCTATAACCAAAAAAAAATAGAGACGAAGATTTTTTAAGTATATTCTATGGCTATATTTGACACGAAGGTGATTCAACCCATATGGTTAGCTTTTATATGTGGTGAATAAAAATTCCAAATATCTATTTTGTTCTCTCAATATATATATATATGCAATTATATTTCTAATTTATATGTGAAGAATATCAAAAGAAAAATATTGTTTAGAATATGCAATGGTTGTATAGTTTGGGTTTGTGGTTGTGGAATGTTATAAAAAGTCACCTTTATATATATATATTTTTTATTAAAACAGATTCAGATTACACGGAGTATACAAAGTGGGATGGAGATGGAAAGGCATCACGAAATAATAATATAAATTTTGAAATATTAAAAGGAGGAAAGGAGATAGAGAAATGAGCTGCCTCTGGTTGTGCATCTCATAGTCGGTCCATGCATACTTTCTTAAAAAAAACAGTATATACAAAAAGTATGATTATTTTGTGAATATATATATATATATATATACTTAAGCTCTTTCCGCTTTATAATATCTTATTTTGCTTTTATTTTATAATATTTAAGTAAATAACCAGGCATATATTAATCCAAATGAAAAGAAACACTCGTCAATAATTTGCTTGTCGTGAAGTATTATTGGTAAATCTAAATATGATAAAATTAAAAAAAAAATCCAACGGATTCCCATATATAATGCAAAAGATATGAAGTGAACAAAAATACATTATATCAAACGTAAAATAACTTCAATAACAACCTATGTGGTGTTAAAAATAAAAGCATGTTTGATTATTCTATCTCTATTTTTTTTTATCAAATTATATTTTTTTATATAATCCACTATTTCGGTAAAATATTTGACAAAATGAAACTGATCGAATTAACCTTATCAAAAGCCAGCACATATGATAAGGTAGATGGAAAACACGAAACAAATGAAAAAGAAGAAGAAGATAATTTATGATAATGATTGAATTGAATGAGCCATGGACCGATGAATGCGTAATTAAATATTGCAAGGTAACCACAGATTAATGCCCTTGGAAATTTTGATAAGCCAATCTTCCGTCATTCATGAAAATCTTTACTATAGTCCTTATCCCCTTGGTAGGAAAAGAAATCTATAATCGATTAGCTTGTAATGATTCGTGTGAAGTATAATTTTCATATATAATCATAATCAATCACAATTAAATTGATAGATGGACGATATTAAATCCTTACTATGATGGCTTATCATATAAACGACAAGTATATTATTATTATTATTATGATGGGCCGTACTATATAGTAAGATCGCTATTTGGAAGACATACGACGGTCCACTTGTGGTTTCTTCTTTCTCGTATATAGCCTCTTGTGGGGCCATCCTGGTAAATTCCACGTCGGCATGATCTTCCTCCAGGTGTGACGCATCCCGTTTTACTAACCAGTGATATAACCTAACATAAGAAAATTAATTTATGGCATGAAAATATCGAAGATTAAACTAATATTTTTTAAAATTAAAAATACTCTCCTATGCCATTTCCCAAATAATATATATATATATATAAAAAAATAAATGAAACGATTTCTTTATTAATGAGAATCAAAATTTTTCTGTTTGTTCTTTCGGGAGAAGAAGGGTCGGGTGGATTCCAAAAGACGACGAGATCTTTCCTGCGAATCACGAGTGACAATAATTTAAAAGAGGGTTTAATTAATTAGTTAATTAATATTTATTGACTAACTAATTATAGTTCCACGCCCAGATCCCCGTGATTGGAAAAAAGTTAGATTTTTTTGTTTGGTAATAAGAGATTTAATTTAACCGAGGCTTAGAATATGCAGATCAAATCTTAAAAGATATTTTTACCTACTGAATATATTTTAGAACCTAACCGTTAAAGATTTGGTCAATCTGTCGAGGATAGTAGGAGAGTGAGAAAGGTGAATATATTTTCAATAAATGCATGTTTAAGACAAACGAATCCATGTCTGTAATCATGGCCTTTATTTACTGTAAATTATTTTTTATTAAAGAAAATGATTTTTGTCATACAGTGCTATATAACATTTTCATGTCTAATCATACAGTCCACTAAACCAACACATTTTTCATATAAATGTGTAACATTGATAATGTTATAAAACAAATAACTTGTCAGCCGAGGGCTGATTCGAATACTAAATTGTTGAACTACTATACAGTGAGATTCTACTATACATACATACATACATACATATATATATATATATATATATATGTATATGGAAAACCACTTTCATAGATGATATAACTAAGTATGATATTATTTATATTCGTAAGGAAGCCAAGTTGGTGTGTACCCACCAAATTAAACGGCCAAGATTTGATTCTCACATTCGCACAAACATTAAATATTCGAAGCTTTTATTACAAGCAGATTTGGACCGTTGAGTATCCCATCACATTCACATCATGTTCTCGTGTGTATATATATATATATTAAAGTAACAAACCCACTTGTTTGTGATATTCTTAATCCGCTTCCTCACTCAAACTATACATTGTAATATATGTTTGATTTTGATATTGTAAATTTATCGGTTCAAATGTATAGTTTATAAGGATTATTTCAGGGATCGCGAAAAAGATTTACTAACCCTGATAAATAAATAAATAAAAATATGACTCTTCTTCTTCCAATTAGAAAATGCCACGTGGTGACTTTTTCCTATGGACCGCTTCCTATTTCTACATCTGGAGATCCGTAGTGACGAGGCCTAGCCCAATTACTTGCAAAGCATTAAAGTCCTCATTACAAGTCCAATAGCCCAGTCTGAGCCCATTGTAAGGGGTTTTATAAACTTTCACGAAATTTTCGTAGGCCTTTTTCTTAAAGGTCCATTACTTCACAAATAATGAAACCCATTCGATTTTGATTATTTATTTTAAAAATTCGTTATTTGATTACGGCCGGGCCGTCGAGATGGACAACGTTGTAGTATTGTGGGAGGCCTGATGGGCCCCATTCCATCACTTACTTCCAGATGGGCAACCTGGACAGTTTCGCGATTTTGTGGGCCCTTAATGGGCCCCCATTCGATTGCGTTACATATTTGAATCGGAATTCTTGCTCGGACTTAGCCGGGTCGGGTCCGGTCGGGTAGAGACTCGGACTCTTTTGGTTGCGTTGATACAGATTCTACTTCCTGCCATTTCATCTCATGGGAAAGGCGGCAAAATTTGATATTGATCACAATTCACATGGAAAATACAAACAAACCAAATCGGAGGAGGAGAAAAAAGGAAGACAAGAAACATTAAAAGCTAAATCATCACCACGAATCTCTACACAAATATTCAAGCTTGATTTCATTCCTGTTCTAAATCGCTATGTCGAAAAGGAAAAAAAAAAGAATCGGTATTCACCGGAAAAAAAAAAAGTATAATCGCCGGCGAATATTATCGAGAACCGTGACCTCGGCGTTTCATGAGCTGTTCCCGCGCTTCCGACAAACCTCTGTCCACTTCCGCGTCCTCCGGTCTCTCTCTCTTCAGTACCTCGTAGTCTTCCATCGCCATTTCCCAGTTTCCCATCTACATTCCCCCGTATTTACATTTTTGCCACTGGTTACTTATTATCACACATATATATCCATATACACCCATACATACATATATACGTAAATATGCCGTACCTTGGCGTGGCAATCGGCTCTTCGTAGACGAGCTCTGGCATAGCCGGGGCGGAGGGAGAGAGCGGCGGAGCAGTCGTCGACGGCCTTGTCGAGGTGGCTCATCTTGGAGCGGCAAGCGGCTCGGTTGCAGAGCAAGACGGAGTTTCGAGGGTCGAGGTCTAAACCCTCTCCGTAGGCGGCGATGGCTTCCTCGAACCGCCCTGCTTTGAAAAGCTCGTTCCCTCTCGACCGTGCCGCTGTCACCCCCTGAGCCCTCATCATCACCATCTGCACCTCCCTGTTGTTCCCGTCCATCTTCACGGCTCGTTCGATCGCCTCCATTCCCTCCTCGAATCTGTTCGTTCCGTGGATATGGTAACCAGGTTTCGGTTCAATAATTGGATTAAACCAAAGTTTACCGGAGAAAGAAACTGGAAATAACTAACCTGCCGCAGGCCATGTGAACCTGAGCCCCGACGGACAAGAAACCTGCTTGACTGATGGTTCCGTAGTACTTAGTTGATGTTTCAACATCAAAATTAGGGCTTTTGGACGATGCTTCATCGGCTTCTTGATGTCTGTTCGTCTTCAAGAAAGCCTCTGCTTGCAAAGCATATACCTTCATCCACAAGAAACGATACCGAAATCATAAAAGCATCGGTTTAGTTCCTTTGTTTCGTTGGTTTCTGAAACAATTTATAAAAGATCGAAAATTTCATTGACCTGAGGAGCTGAATCAGCGCCTGAGGATATGGCGTTTGCTGTTTCTTTTATCAGTGTGTTCCAATCTCGTCGGTTCTTGGCTTCCGTACATTTGTTTATATGTGTTTGTACGGTCTTGGCTTTAGCAATGTCCTCGGCATCAGCTTCTGGACCCGAATGTTTGAAATGATATATCGCCTTCTCGACCTCTCCTAATCTGTTCGTTCACGTGTTTTTCAGAATTTTGAGGCCGAAAGAATCTAAAGGATGAATCATTTTTAGAATATGAATGAAACCCATATGGTTTGATCTGATCAGATTACCTGAGATACAAATTTGCCAATCTATGGTGAGCCCTGTGGTAATGAGGCTCGATTCCGATGGCTTCTCTGCACTCGAAAACCGCCTCGAGGATTCTGCCCAATGCTGTTAAAGCCGCGCTCTTATTGCTCCGGTAAGCTGCCTTGTTCGGGTCAATGGCTATGGCTGCATCATACAGAGCCAATGCCTCGGCGAAATTCCCGTTCTTGTAATCTTCATTCCCCATTATCTTCAACGTTTCGGGATCCATCCTCGTCGAAATAGCCCTACACAATGATCCTGACTGGTACGAGCTCCTTGCAACCGGTCCAGCCATCCTCCTTTCCTCGTCGTTCGTCTTCCTCGCCCCATACCCTACAGTGGAATTCCCCCCGGGCTGTCTCAGATTCCCAAGATTACCGTACAACATGACATTGCTCGAAGATGCACGAACCAACGAGCCATTGGGCGATCTCCCTTTCTGATGATCGGTGATCATTTTCTCTAGCTCGCCCGATATCCCGATTGCTCCCTTCGGCACCTTCCTAACTTGTTGTTGTTGGACCGTTCCTCCATATGAATCATTCTTACTACTGCGATTACCGTTGTTATATGGTTGATGGCTATTAGGGTATTGATTCGATGAAGGTCTTAAGCCCGATTTCTTGTTCTGTATCGGGTCGGATGCAATCCTTTGATCGTCGTTGTTTGCAACTTGAGTCCTTTTAGGGGCAAACTCGGTTCCGGGGGATTTGGTAAACTGAATGTTGGCGGAGGCTGTCGGGACATTACCGCTACTGCCCATCGAGCTTTTGTGGCTACTGTTATCTCCGGTAGGTTTCTTGGCCCACAGGGCACGCCTTCCGAACATTACGCTCAATAGCCCGCAGCCGGAAATTTTCTCCGAGGAGTTCTCCTCCATTTCTCCGGTGACAGAACCGCCTCGAGATCTCCTCTTCGTGAATTTCCTCCGCCGGAAAAGGGGTACCGGAAAAGAGGGGGAGACCGGGAAAAGGAAAGGTTAAAGGGCATGGAAGGGCAAAGATTTCATGTCAGAGAGGACGGAGATTCGTTAAAAAAAAAACAGAGAACGATGTGGTTGGGCATTCCGCGGCCGGACAATGTGAACGAAGGAGGCTTTCTTTCCGTTTTGTCTCCGCCCTCTGGGCAACAGAATATTATACAAAATGGCATTTTCATTCATTAGGTAACGAAAATACACAAAAATAAATAAAATAAAACTAGTCATTGTTTGTTTCATTTTAGTTTTTTGCTCTATTTTTTTTTTTGGGGTGTTGGGTGTCTGCCGTTGACTCGGTCAAAACACAAGGGTGTTGGATTCTTTATTGTTGGGGATTCTCACTAACAATATATCATTTCATGGATCGCACGTCTTCAGTGTCATCTTCCTCAAGATCTGGACAATAACTGGATCCATGAAGTGGTTGGGACCCACCTCTGGTCCATTAGATTCTTAAATAAGACCAGAAGACATCAAATATCATATGGATTCAGCTAATTGGGCAACACATGTTGGGCTTATCGGCCCATTATAAACTCAAGCAGATAATGGGCCTTATTGGGCTCATTTAAACTCGAGCAGATAACGGGCCTTTTTATTGGGCCCATTTTAAACTCAGGCAGATAACGGACCTTGTTGGGCCCATTTTAAACTCGCGCAGTTAACGGGTCTCATTGGGCCCATTTTAAAATTTCGCGTTGAATTGAAATAGATCTCGGAAAGTACAGATGCATATTGACAATACAAATAATACGATACAATATATTTTTTTCTCGAAATGAGCATTTCATAAAATAAACTGCAGTTTCCGAGCATATATATATATATATATATTTTACCGACGAGATCATATGAATAATCCAATACAATGATAGGTGTATATCCGAATTTCACATACGAAATTTATGTTTATTCGACTATTAGTCCAGAATGAAGATGTAACCAAGGCTTAGATGGGTCCATGTACACGTGGCCCCTTGAAACCATTTAGAGGAAAGGAGATCGTTTTTTGGGGATTTGTCAAAGCAGTGTTTGTTTTGTTTGAAAGGTGGAAGCGTCAATGCCTCGGATCTTGAGCTTATTTTGCACAGACATAAAGTCAACGGTCAATCTCTACACCACCATTCTTCTCGTCTGAGATTGTGCCACGTGGAACGATCTCTGTCTGCGTCAAGACCGCCATTGACTAATCTGCTCGCCCTTCGTGGAAATGTCCGTCTTGTTTGCAATGTCTCTCGTATTAAAATACGATTAATCGCATTTGATACATCGACCGTTTTACATATGATATTTTGCGCCAAGTGAAAGTATTGATCAACCGTTACCAAAAAAACAGTAGTAATTGTTTTTTTTGGTAATTGGATATCTTGCATTAAATTCTAAAATGATATCAAAGACTTGAAAAACCATATGAATATCCCTTCTCAAATTTAGGGTTCGAATTTAGAACGAAACAAACGTTTTGTACTTACTACTTTACCGGTTGAACGGTCTACATTTAGATAAAATATATCTGTTTGTATCATTTCTCATGCAACCATGTGATAAATTTGTATTTTTTCTTTGGAATGTTATGTTTATGAAAATGTCATTGAATACCAAACCATTCTATATAAAAGAAAGAAAAAAATCTAATTTACGGCTGACTCTATTGAAGTGGGTGAGGTGAAGTGCACAACACTATTATAGGGTAAAATCGAAGCATAAGTCGGAAAAAGTGGTGTCTAATCAAATTTATTTTACTACGACTCCAAACATTTTTTTTTTATAAAAAAGGGCCTTGTTGGGGATTTGGTGAATCCTGATTGCTGAAAATTTCAAGTTAATTTTTTTATTTTCCGATGGGTTAATTAGTAAACTTTATTTTTTATAAAAAATATATTCAGGGTCTTAATGTTTCAAATAATTATCTGATTTCGTGTGAGGATTAATTTGTATCTTGGTGTTAACCCTGTTAGACTTTAATTTTGATTTAAATATATGGAATTTTTCCTTGCAAATTCTTCACCTTCCACGTAAATTTGACATAATGACTGTACTAAATCCATATGTATTAGTTTCGAATTGATGATTTATATATATGTTTTTTTTTGTAAAGGTACATAATGTATATAATCTTGACATCAATTTTTTTTTAACGAGGGATGAAAAAAGAATATAAAAAAAAACGGGGACATTTTAATTAGGGTTTTAATGTACCTGTGATTCCCGAATATTTATTTATTACGATATCAAGTGCGGATTCGGGGTGAGTGATGATAGGATGCCAAAGAATAAAACCAGAGAGGAAACCAACAAAAACCTAACGGACAAATGAAAAGGGAAAGAATTGAAACTAAATATTCTTATAAGTGGAGGAATATATTTTCGTTGAAATATATATTGCCTAAATGTGGGTAACAGCTTACACATTCTATCCAAGGAAGGAAAAATAATATAAATTATCAAACGTATATACATACATACATATATATATATATAAACATCGCAAGTTGTTTTGATCAAAAGAGGTTCTGAATATTTAACCCCTTATCAATATAATTTGTTTGAGAACAACTGATATACATTACCCTATAAATCGTATATAAATCAAAAGTTGAAATTTGAAACCGTTGGATATGTACATATAGATGAACGTTTTTATCTTATAATTTGAGGATAACGATAGTAATTATAGATTTGGTCAAGAACGAAGAAATGTTTGTGGTCAATATCAGCACACACGCATATATACATATATATATATATATATATATATGTATATGTATATATATATATATATATGTTTTGGGACTTGTTTAACTGTTTGAACCAAACCCACACCCACAACCAACGCTCCAAATGATTTTTCCTGGGGTTCCTATCAATCCTTTATCTCTTTAATGCCCCAAGATATCCTCTAAAAATCGCCCCACATCTCTCTTTTTACGCATATATACAAGTGTATATGTGTGTGGGCATACATAATGTACTTACACAGACACTCTTT